TGGGTCATCTGGTGATGAATTTTTTCTAATTTTTTTATTAAAAAATCAAACAACTAAATCTTACCTCTTGTAAAGGCATTGATTAAGTAGATACCAGCCTCTTGGATTTATCAAGTACTCTCTCCACCAAGGTTCCTTGTAACAATGGGAGAGAATTTACAGGTCAATAACCTCTAAGAGAGTGTGCCAACCGAGTTAATTTGGTCCTGCACTTTGCGAAGATAGATGCCCTTGTAATGTTTTACTTGTCCCTAATCTCCCACTGCTACTACCCTAATATCCCACAACTCGGCACCTGTGAATCAAAAGCTTGTGCCTGAAACTTAAAAACCCCTTAGAAGATTCCAAGAGACCCCAGAAGCAGCACCGCGCCTGGATCCCTGTGAATGCTCATGAGTAATAATGACTTCCTGTGCTGTCGGCCTTCATCTCTGGCTCCAGACTTCATTTCTGAATCTTTGGGATTTCTGAGCGGTAGGTTGTCTTTGCTACGTATGGTGGACTTATTGCTGGCTTTATGCTAAGGCGATGACTCCGAATGGGGGCTGGCCAAGCTAGAAAGACCAACCAGGTGATTAGAGGTTGGGACTTTGAGCCAAGTGATATCAGCCAAACCTACAGAGAAGGGAGATGGAGACTAAGTTCAATCACATAGCCAATGAATTAAGCAGTCACACCTATATAATGAAACCAAATAAAAATTATGGACTGAGGCTCACGTGAGCTTCCTGGTTGTTGATACACATCAGTGTACCAAGAGGATGGCGTATCCCGAAAGCACAGAAGCTTCACATTTGGGACCTCCGGACTTGCCCCTGTGTCTCTTCATTTGGGCTGCTTGTGATGTGTATCCTTACTAGTAAAACTGTAATCATGAGTACCGTACTCTCCTGAGTTTCATGAATCTTTCTAGTGAATTACCGAAGCTCAGGGGCCAGTGAGAACCCACAAATGTGTAGTCAGTGGGTCAGAAGCAAAGGTGGCCTGGGAGCCCAGAGCTTGTAGCTGGTGTCTGCCGTGAGGCAATCGTATGCGTATGCACTCACCCCTGGTAGTTAGTGTCAGCATGGCATCGCAGCTATGCCTCCAACTAACTTATTTGCAAACGGAGGAGCCACAATTTTCTAACCCAAATTGATGACTAGTTGTGTGGGGAGGGGAGCTGGTGGCACCATTAAAGGTCCAAAAGATAGACATTTGGGGCTTGGGGTGTGAGGAAAAATTCGGAGATAGTCCCCAGCATGGCTGTCCTCTGGTGTCCACACTCAGTACACGCTTCTCCCCCTGAGCATGAGGCCCACTGTGAGCATGAGGCCCACTGTGAGCATGAGGAGCTTCACCCCTGTGATCAGGTTATGATACACAACAACACAGTTCAGCTGGTGAGACCCTGAGCAGAGAGCAAGCCAAGGCCAAGCTCCAGGAGGTGACAGGTGGGTATGCTTCAGGCCACTAAGTTTGTGATCATTAGTTATGCAGCACCAGGAAGCTAGTACACATGGAAACCTGTACTGGTTGAGGAAGCAGGAGGACGTAACACCAGCTCTGCCCGGCCGACAGGGGTGGTTTGAGAGAAGAGCGATCAGAAGGCAGGAGAGGAGAACAACCAGAATTTTTCATGACATGAAACCAGATTCTCAGGTGGGAACCTAAAGGAACGCTTGGGTTGGAGAGATGATGTTTGGCCCCAAAAGAAGCAGCTTGATTTCTGTCTTCAAACGGGAAGGGCTGTTTTATGTCAGAGGTATTAAACATGCCCAAGTGGCATAATAAGATGGAAGCACAATAAGATGGATATGCTCTCAAATTGATGCATATTATCTCAACAAAAGGCCTAGAAGATAGGAAAGGCTGCCTTTGTGACTGGCACTCCTAATTCATTCCAAATTCCTAATGAGTTCCAAGCGCACAAATGTAATTCACTTACATCAGAAATAAGAGAAGAAATCGGGACAAGCAAATGGAGACGAGACAATGAGTAGGTGAAGAGCTGCCAACCACAGGCATTGGGCTGGATTAAAATCTCCCCAGCCCACAGCTACTGTAACTCTATGTGTAAATGTCACCTCAAAGAGCCAGGGCCACACTATCCAACTGATGCTAGGAGGTGGGGTTGAATTGAGATGGAATTGGGTCACAAACAAAGTGACACCCGAATTCTGCCCTCCTCTCGAGTTTCTCAAAGGAAAACAATAAACTGAGGGAAAAGGGACTCGGGCTGTACCCCAAACCTCAGGATCAAATACTTTCTTTACTTAAGTGGAGTTTTCTGATGCCAACGCACTCTAAAGACCCACTCTGATCATTTCACCCCCAAACCAAAGCCCAAGTAAGGAGCCCAAAGCCATGAGGGAGCTGACCTAGGCCACCCACTCCAGGCCTTTCGCACCCAGGGAGAGCCAACAGCTTCGACCGCCTCCTGAGGGGAGCCTTGACTGTCACCGCAGTTCTCTTCGCCCCTCCGCAGGATTAGCCTCCGTTTCCTGACTTCCACGGCATCATCTTTCTTGCATGATTTGCTTCTTTAGTTGGAGCACATCCTTTCATCACTTTCTGAGAAAAGGCAACAGAAGTCTATTGAAGCATCCATCTTACATAAAAACTGCTGTTTGAAATTTTAGCCCTGCTATTTTGGCTTCTGTAAGCATTTGCTTGCTTAAATAATAGGGAAAATAAGACTATTCCCATTCCAGAAAGGCCATAAACTATGCCCCAGACAGAGTTGTCAGTGCTGGTGCCAGGCCAGGCCTTGAGTTATGGTGTCATGGCCCCTCCCAGCACGCAGGCCTTCTTTCTCAGAAGGCCCGGAAGTCTCATTCCAAATTTGGGAGACAAAGGGCTGGAAAAAGTATAAATAGAGAAGTTTCCTCCATGTTGGGGGGGCCCAGAATTTGAAAGACACATTTTTCTCTGGGCCTGCGCATAATTAAAGTGGAACTCCCTTTCTCTAAGCATGGCTTGGTTTCTTCTCCCGTCTTCTGTAACACAGTTTAAAGCTTGCCTGGCTGAAATAGCCTGTCTTTCTTCTTCCTTGACTGACGTTTTATTGAGTACAGAATCCTAAGATGGGACATTTTCCCAGAATGTGACAGCATTGTCTAATGCTTTCCTATCCTGCTCCTGAGAAGCCTGAAGGCGTCTGGTTACTGGGCCACTGTACATGGTCTGTTTTCCCTCTGCGCTTTAGTGTGGGGTTTCTTATTCCTGGCCCTCGGTGGCTTCTCAGCAGGCCCTTTCAGTTCTAAAACCTTTCTTATATCATTTCTGTTAGTTCCGTTTTCTCCTCCCCCACACACGGGCTGGGTGGGGCCACCTCAGAGGCGATGGCAAATACAGTGAGCAGCAGGCCTTCGTGCCTGTGCACTGAGCCCTACCCAGGGCATCATGGGAGGGAGCACTGCTTTCCCAGCTGTGGTTCAGGGAGTCAGGGCCTCCATTTCCAGCACTGCCTGCGTAGAATAAAGCAGGCCAACCCCTTACCCCAAACCACCCAAAGCCGGTGGGAAAGCAACAGCTCTGCAGTACTCAGAACTGTCCCCCCACCTCAGAGCCCAGCTGGCCATGCAGCCAGAACTTACCGACTCCACTGCTCCTCTGTTCCGATCTGACTATTGAGCCTATCCGCTGCACCCCTCCCTGTAAACTAGACTGTACCCCTGTGTATACTTCTCACCCAACGTCTTTCTAAATGATCCCCTCTCCTCTGTGTTCTCTGTTCTTTCCTTCTGAAACGTGTTTGCTGGACATGGGACTGCATGGGTTGATTATCTAATTTCACCTTTTTCCTGTTTCTCATCTCTGTGCTGTTTTATTTTTATACTTCTGTCTGGGGGATTTCTGAAACTTTATCTCCCAGTACTTCTGTGGAATTTTTTAAATCCCTGCAATCACACTTTTTAAAATATATTTTTAGTGATTTCACAGAGGAAAAAAGAAAGAGACAGAAACATCAAGGATGAGAGAGAATCATTGATCGACTGCCTCCTGCATGCCCCACACTGGGGATCTAGCCCGTACCAGGGCATGTGCCCTGACCAGGAATCGAACCGTGAGCTCCCGGTTCATAGGTCAATGCTCAACCACTGAACCACCCCAGCTGGGTCCTGCAGTCATATTATTAATCCGTGCCTTTTCTTTTACATAGCAGCCTCCTCTTGTCTGGGAAAAGCAATCTTTATCTAATTGTTGTGGTGTTTGGAGTAGTCTTCTGCTATCCACGTGTATTTTTGCACCCTTCACTTTTCCTGTGGTTTTCGTTTGCTCTTGTTTGGAAATTTTGCTATAGTTTTTGTCTCTTGTTCACATGAGCAGTATTCCTCAAACACCTGGTAGCTTTCAGCTGCCCATAATCCAGCCCCAGGTGCTCACAAGCTCGGTGGAAGCCTGGCATGGAAGGGCAAAGTTGGCCAGCTGGGCAGTGACAGGATCCCACCAGCTTTCTCTTCACTGAAGAGGAAGGTGTTGGCTTTTCTTCAATGCATATGGCACATCAGAACTGCTACCCCAAAGACGCTGCTCACTGCACTTCCCACCCTGGCTGAGTGTCTGGCTGCCTCCACTGTGCTGGGGGAGCTGCTGGGCCCCTCTCTCTGGGCCACTGCAAGGCTGCTGCCAGTGCACACGCATCATGACAAAGGTGCCTGCCCCCAGGCTTCCCCGTGGCTGAGCTCTCCGTCGTGGAAAAGGGACTCGGATTCCTGCACACCTCGCCCTCTCTCCGTGCTGCTCTCTCTGACTCTCCCATTCCAGGCTGGGAGGCCATCTCACGCGTGGCAAACGCCACCCGGAGAGCTGAGCAGCCTGGAGCAGCACAGAAACCTCCAGATGGGCATCCTCAGAGGCCCCTGTCTGGCAGCAAAGCCTGGTGCTGGCCGCGGCTGCCCTCGCCTTACCATCGGAATTTACCTTTGTTCGCAAAGAGGACGCGGTTTCCAGGGAGACCGGGCGCCGGTGTTCCCTGTGGAACTGGGGGCGGCGGAAAGCAGAGGGAGGACCCCGAGATGCTGCTGGTCCTGCTGGGCTGCCTTCTGCCCGCCGCGGGCGCGGAGAGCTGCCTCCGCTGCTGGCCGGAGCTGCCCCTGCTCCTGGACTATGACCTGCGGGTGCTGTGGGGCCCCGGGCCGCCCCGGGAGCTCTCCCGCAGCCTCCGCTCCCTGCTGCTGCAGGCGCCCGTCCCGGAGCCCGGGTACCTGGGTGAGGCGCGCCGCATGGCGGAGACCGGGTCAAGGCTGGCCCTGCGCCTGGGCCGAGCGCTCACGCCCTGACTTCCTTCCTGGCGTGTCCCATCCAGGGCGGGAGCAGCTGGAGCGGGAAGCGGCCGCGCTCTTCGCTCACATCGACACAGCCATTGGGAAGTTCCGCGCCGGTGAGGAGGCCGCGTGTCCCAGGCCCAGGCCTCCCCAGAAGACCCATTGTCCTGGGAGGGAGGTGTGCTGAGGGTGGGCACAGCCGCCGTCGGGGGCGTCCCTCTGGAGTCCATGATGGAGAAGCCGGGAGGCATCCCCAGTCTTGAGCTGCGAGGTGGACCTGCTCTGAGACGCAGGCGGCCTGCGCCCCTTCCCTCCCTCCCACGCGCCCAGACAGACCGTCGCTCCTGGGCGAGATGCACGTCCAGAAGCAGCTGTTTGCTGAGAGGCTGAGCAGGGCTTCCGAGGAGCTGAAGGAGCAGGGTGAGAAGGGCTCCCCACCACGCCCAGCCCTTCGCCTGCCTCAGCCCTGAGGCTGGGAGCAGAGTCCAGTCGCCCCCCATCCCTGCCCCCTCCCGGGTGCCTGTCCACACCTCCCAGCGCCACTTCCTGCCCACACCCCACCCCTCCTGGCTCTGCCTGCCTCCCTGGCACCTCATCTTCTCCACCATCTCACCCTCGGGCAGCCTGCAACAGCTCCTGTGGTGAGTACTGGGGACCCTGCCTGGGCCTGGGCCTGGGCCTGGGTGAGGGGCACCCGGCCCTCACTAAGGCTCCTGCCCCCCCTCTCGCAGACCTGCCCTTTAAACTGGAGGTCATCAACTGCGTCAACTGCAGAGCACACCTCCTCACCTGCAGAGACCCCACCCTCTGCCCAGGTCAGTGGCCAGTGGCCATCTGGCTTCAGCACCCCCCCACCCCGCTCCCCTCGTCCCTGTTGTCTCTTCCCCGATCGCCTGCACTTCTGTCCGGCCCTGCGCTTGCTCCCCATTGTCACCGTGAAGGTGGCACCTCCGAGATGTCTCAGCTCCTCATGGCCCGCTGCAGAACCAGAGCCGCCTGTCCCTGGACGCCTCCCTCGGCCACAAAGCCAGCAGGCTGACAGCCCCACACCCTCTCCACCCCCAGATCTGCTCTCCCCTTGGGGGCTCTCTTAGCAAACGGCCCCGCTCTAAGAGCTCAACCCCTGAACCAGAAATCGCACCCCCCCCCCCCTTACCCAGTCATGGAACCATCAAGTCTTAGGAAATAGTTTTTGAATGTGTTGCCATATTTTCATTCCAACACCCACCCTCTCCTCCAGGCCTCCTCACCTCTCACCCGCAGTATGACAACACCCTCCGGTCACATCTTACTCAGCAATCAAAGAACTTTTTCTCAAGAGAAAAGCTGCCGATGACACTCCCTGTATATAACTTCAGTAGCTCCCAATCCCCCCCATAAAGTCCACCGTCCTCGGGGGCCCTGTGTAAGCCACCCCTGCTCACCTCCAGCTCCGGGATCCCAGCCACACTGGCCAGCTTTAGATTTCTGTCCTTGAACATTCTGTGCCCTTGGCCGGGACTGCCTTCCCACTTGTCTTTCAAAGTCAGCCAGAACTCCTGTTTCCTAAGAAACCTTCCCTGACCAGCTCCAGCCCCCTGGGCTGGCTCGTCAGCCTCCTCAGATTCCTGCCCCTGGGCCCCATCCTGTCCTGCTTCCCTTGGGCGCCACACGCAGTTGCTTGCTTGTCTCCCTCCTGGAGAGCAGGGGCCATGTCTCATTCATCTTGGAGTTTGCTGGGCACACAGTTGGTGCTCAGTAAGTAGTTGCAGACAATTGACTGAGCCGGTGAATGAAGCAAAGAAAGAGGGTGGCTTTCTCTCTGAGCCAAGACACCATGACTGCTCCCCAAATCCCTGGCCCCTCTGTCACCGCCCCCCTCCCCCCCCCCCCCCAGGCTGGACCCAGCAGACTCTCCTGTGGGCTGGGAGCCTCTGCGTCACTCTGGCCCTGGCAGTCGTCGCTGGAGGTGGGTGAGTGACTCCCCAAGCCCCGCATCCCCAACGCAGACCCGCTGCTCCTGGACTGACCCATTTCCACCTGTTCCCTGGCCCAGATGGTACATTTTCTGGCACAAGAAGCAGGCAGAAGAGGTACTGGAGGACACCCCTGCTCGGCTCTAGGGCTCCCGAGGATGGGATGCTGGGCCTGCCCTGGGGGGAGCATGGCTGGAGGCTCCAACTCTGACCCCAGGGCCTGGCACCCAGAGCAGAGGGGAATCAGGGCTGGGACCCATTCGCCTCCCCTACCCCCACCCCCAACCCCACCCAGAGTGAGCAGACAGACACACAGGGGGCCAGGGCAGGGCACAGAGGCAGCAAAGCTCCCAGGCTCCCACCTGATCCAGCAGGTTCCCTCTCCCCACAGCTGCTATAGCCCCTCCCCGGACACACCCTGCCCCGCTGCCCCTGCGCCCTCAGAAGCACCGGCTATCGGGGTGCCTGGCCCTCATTGAGGACAGGTGAGGGCCACAGAGGTCGGGGTGCAAACCCGGTGCATTGCTCTCAGCAGGGACCCAGCAGGCTGCTTGTCCCCCAGAGGTGAGCAGGGGTCCCCCGCGCTGCCAGGAAGCCCCTTCCCCGGACCCCCTGCGCGGCAAGGTGACAGCTCTGGGTTCTGAGGCAGGAGCTTGTGCCTTGTAAAGTCCTTCATTAAACGCCCCCCATGTTCTGACTCCTGCACTCCTTGCTTCCTGCTGGGACCCGGCAAATGCAGCACAATGGACCCTCCCAGGCGGTCCGCAGGGACTGTCCCTCCCGCCGCTGCCCACCACCCTCCCACTCCACGAGCACCGTCCACTGCCCTGGTCCCACAGTCGTAGCTCTACGGGCTCACCCAGCTCGCCTGATAACAACACCAGAGATGAGTCCAGGGCTGGCCTGTGTTTCCCCAGGGGTCCCAGTGGCTCCGGGGGGGGGGGGGGGGGGAGGGCGGAGGGAGGGCAGAGGGAGGCCAGCTGATGGCGCACTCAGAACAGCGCTGGTTAAGACCACCACGAAACAGGCTCCAAACCACACCCAGCTGTGTTTGCCCGGGGCCTGGCCAACATGTCCACCTGGGCCACTGTGCTGCTGGCAGGGAGTTTCCCAGCCCTCCTCAGGCTTGGCTGCCTCCTGCTCCATCTCCCTCCTGGCCCTCCACAGGCTTGGCCGCCTCCTGCTCCATCTCCCTCCTGCTCCATCTCCCTCCTGCTCCATCTCCCTCCTGCTCCATCTCCCTCCTGCACCATCTCCCTCCTGCTCCATCTCCCTCCTGCTCCATCTCCCTCCTGCTCCATCTCCCTCCTGCTCCATCTCCCTCCTGCACCATCTCCCTCCTGCTCCATCTCCCTCCTGCACCATCTCCCTCCTGCACCATCTCCCTCCTGCACCATCTCCCTCCTGCACCATCTCCCTCCTGCACCATCTCCCTCCTGCTCCATCTCCCTCCTGCTCCATCTCCCTCCTGCTCCATCTCCCTCCTGCACCATCTCCCTCCTGCTCCATCTCCCTCCTGCACCATCTCCCTCCTGCTCCATCTCCCTCCTGCTCCATCTCCCTCCTGCACCATCTCCCTCCTGCACCATCTCCCTCCTGCTCCATCTCCCTCCTGCTCCATCTCCCTCCTGCTCCATCTCCCTCCTGCACCATCTCCCTCCTGCTCCATCTCCCTCCTGCACCATCTCCCTCCTGCTCCATCTCCCTCCTGCTCCATCTCCCTCCTGCTCCATCTCCCTCCTGCACCATCTCCCTCCTGCACCATCTCCCTCCTGCACCATCTCCCTCCTGCACCATCTCCCTCCTGCTCCATCTCCCTCCTGCTCCATCTCCCTCCTGCTCCATCTCCCTCCTGCACCATCTCCCTCCTGCTCCATCTCCCTCCTGCACCATCTCCCTCCTGCTCCATCTCCCTCCTGCTCCATCTCCCTCCTGCACCATCTCCCTCCTGCTCCATCTCCCTTCTGGCCCTCCACAGGCTTGGCCTCCTGCACCATCTCCCTCCTGCTCCATCTCCCTCCTGCTCCTCTCCCTCCTGCTCCATCTCCCTCCTGCACCATCTCCCTCCTGCTCCATCTCCCTCCTGCTCCATCTCCCTCCTGCTCCATCTCCCTCCTGCTCCATCTCCCTCCTGCTCCATCTCCCTCCTGCTCCATCTCCCTCCTGCTCCATCTCCCTCCTGGCCCTCCACAGGCTTGGCCTCCGCCTGCTCCATCTCCTTCCATGTCCTTTTCTGTCGGCCCCCAAGGCTTCCAGGTTGAACGGAACCGTGTCCCCAAGGCCCCACTCTGGCCCTTCGCTCAGCCCTGCGCCCTCCCCACTGATGCTGCAGGCCTCCAGCCTCAGCCAGGCTCTCTGGGACTAAACAGGACCTCTACAGCCCCGAGTGCACGCAGGCCCCGGGCTCTGAGAGCAGGTTGGCTCCTGGTGCCAAAGAAAAGCAGATCTGAGTCCAGAACCTGGACTCCATTCCTGGCTCAGATTCTAATGTTCTGGGTTCCCCTCTGCACCTCAGTGTCCCCATCTGAACACAGGCGGATGCCATGCTTTTCCCAGGGTGTGTCCTGACCCTGGAGCCCTGGTGTCATATCTGCCATCCCACACTTGCCTGTGCTGCGGACCCACATTCAGTTCCCTTCCCCCACTGCAAGCCTCTGCAATCCTGCTTCAGCGGAGCCCCGCTCCTGAGCCCAGGCCTCTGGCTTCCTCAGGCCTGCCAGTGCCCGCCCTGTGGCGGGAAGCGGCTGGCTCTTACAGCACATCCCACAGTAGGGCCACTCCTGGGGCTGGGGCAGAAGGACTCCCGGTGACTGAAGTGAGATGCAAACTAACCATAAACAGCAACCTGGGCAGGGAACTCCACGGGGACCTCCAGCTCACCCAGCCAGGGATCCCAGAAGGCCTCCCTGAGGCAGCGTCTGCAAGTGGGAGAGACAGAGGGCAGGAAGGGAGAAGTGTTTTATGATGGGCTCAGGCTTGCAGAGGCGTGGAAGCAGGAGTGACATTGATGGGATTGTGCAACTTCCAGAACCGTGGTATGGCCCAGGGGGAGGCCAGGTGAGGGCGGTGGCAGGTCAGGTCCACGGAGGCTCCCAAGCCCATGCAGGCCCAAAGGGAGCCGGACAGGAGAGGCAGTGGGAGGTTTTGCGGAGACAGCCCTGATCCAGGAAGGGAGACAGATATGGGGAGGGAAGGACGGTGGGTGGGGCGGACATGACTCCCTGTGCTGGGAGCTGAGGTGCCTCCCACCCAGCTCCACACTCCCTCCTCCTCACAGCGCCAGGGAAGGGTCTGCAGATGGAGGCGTTTGGGGGAAGCAGACACACTCCAAAGACACAGCTGTGACACATGGTGAGGACATCCTCAAAGCCCCTTGGAGGGCCTGGGCCAGAGCCCAGCGACGGTGCTCACGGGCCCAGGAGACTGGTTCTCTCTGCGTGTCTCGAAGGCCTTTACCACCAGGACGTAGGGCGGTGGCGGTTTCCTGCTTGTGTTTCAATGTGGACTTGGACCATTACTTCAAAAATATCCAGAGCAAGGTTTTTGATGCGTGCAGTAAAAGTAGGAAATCACGGGTATAGTTTATATGAAGTATGAGTGTGTATGTCTGTGTGTATCTCTTATCAACAGATTTTTTATTTGCAGGCATCTTTTTATGAAAACTAGATGGTGTTCTGCTGGAGTGGAAAAACTAAGAAATGTTGCGTCCAAATATAAGCTCTGGAGGCCTTCTGCTTTCAACTAGGACAGAGAGGCCCATAGCAGACAAGGCTCTCACCAAGGGCAACTCAAAATAAAATAAATCAAAAGAGCAGAACAAAACGAAAAGCTGGTTTTAGACACCAGGAGAGGCAGTCCCACACGCCCACAGCCCGGCCGGGCGGGCAAGGCGAGCTCTGCAGGGAGCGGGGTCCCCAGCACTCCCCCTCCTGGGAGAGCCCTCAGTCCGCTGCAGGTATGGGCACAGGTGGGCTGAGAGGCTCCCGGTGTGGAGAGGCCAGCAGAGCTTCCTGCAGTCCCGCTGCTCTGAGGACACAGGCTGGGGGACTAGCTTGCTGCGACAATGTGAGGGGTCCAAGTCCCCGAAAGTACACAGGTGCAGAAAAGTCAACCCACAGCACCTGTTCCTCCGGCATCCCGAGATGTCGGCCTGTTGTTCACAGCACAGGGCGTTGGGCCAAGAAATCAAGCAAAGCATCTGAGATGCAATGTATCAGAGATTTGTATGTCAGGGAAATAAATAGCAGCGTTCCTGACCCACATAGGAAGACACTGTGATCACTACTACCGGTTTGGGCTGGAAAGAGAATAGCCTTATAAAAGAGGGGGTGCAGCAGAGGCAGATCAATTCTTACAGAGTTTGGAGCTCAGCCTAAGGGCCCCGCAGCCCCTGACAAAATTAAAAATGCCTATTCTTAGTCGATATCACTGCTGGGGACGACAGTCCATAATGTCATGTAGAGGCACCACGTTGCATTTTCAATACCCATGCCCAGGATTAAATATGAACAGGCACACCAGAAACGGGATCAAGAGAAAATTCAGACAATAGAAACAAACCTACAAGTGATCAGATATCAGAGTCACCTGAAATAAATTTTAAAATAACTATGATTCATGCATCCAAAATATTTCACATCCAATAGCAGTCACTCCCCATTCCCAGCTCAGCCCCGGGGCAACCACTACTGTTTTTAATCTCCATGAATTTGCCTATTCTGGACATTTCGCATACATGGAATCATGCAATGTGTGTGTCCGGCTGCTTCCGTTTAGCATGAATGGTGTTTTCCACGTTAACTCGTGTTGCACCTTGAATGGGAGCTTCATTTCCTTCTGAGGCTGAATTACCGCATGGTGTGGATTTGCTGCATTTGTTTACGCATTTACCAGCTGATGAACATTTGGACTGATTCCACTTGTTGGCCACCGTGAATAATGCTGCTGTGAACATTTGTGGAGAAGTTTTTTGTGTAAACATATGTTTTCAGTTGTCTTGGGTATATACCTAGGGGAGTGAAATTGCTGGGTCAAATGTTAACTCTGTTTAGCATTTTGATGGGCTGCCAAATTGTTTTCCAAAGTGGCTGCACCATTTTATATGCCCATCTTCGGTGCATCGGTTCCAATTCCTTCCTCATCAATACTTATCATTTTTTTTAATTTTTATTTATTGATTTGAGAGAGAGAGGATGGGAGAGAGAGAAACATCAATTTGTTGTTTCACCTATGTACTCGGTTGAATACTTGTTATAATTTTAAAAATTAAAATTATTTTCTCCCTTAATTTTCTCTCTCACATGCATTTACTTTTCTTTGGTAATACTTACCTCAACTTCTATTTATATATTTACTTATTCTTGAGCTTGTTTAAAGTCTGTGTTCCCTGATTAGACTGGAAGTTTTATGAAAACTACTGGCTACTGCCTGCTCAGCACTTAGCCGGGTGCCTGACACTATGTGTTAATCAACTCTTGTCGACAAGGCTTCTGATCACAGTAAGCGATCAGTAGGTAAGCTTTGGGGGAATAAAAAGGATTTCAGCTGCATGGAGTGTCAGTGCCCTGAAGCCTCGCAGTGTTCGAGGGGCCGCTGTCTATCCTACTGGCTGTTATCTGAGGAACCTGAGTAATACAACAAGGACTGAAGTAGGTGAAGGGAAGGGAAGGGAAGGGTGAGAAGAGTAAAATGGAAAATCACTGTGAGATCTCATGTGACCACAAATGCTTCGCCCATTAACTCACTATGGCCACCTTTTTGCCTTTGTAGACGAAAGTCTAACGATCAGACCAGAGCAAATGTCTTGTCCCTGGAATGCCCTGTCAGTGCGCAGTGAGAGCCTGTGCTGGGAGGGGAGCGGCCTGGTGTGGGCAGCAGCAGAGCGGGAAGGCAGGGCAGGGAGCCCCATGCCCGCACTGCCCTGAGCCAGTCCTGTCTCTTTCTTGAGGAGGCTGTGGCTCGCTCTGGGACCAGTGAGACTGCACAGGCCTTGACTGACATTCCCAGGCCCCGAGTGCATGTCTCCGCAGAGCTGCAGCTGCAGCCAGGACAGATCCCTGCCGGGGTGGGGCAATCCAAGGGCCCCTTTCGTCTCCCCGTTTAAAATGGATGTAAACGGTTAGGAGGTAGTTAAGAGGGAAATGCTCTCTGTTCGGGAACTTTGTAGCTGAAATCAAAAAGGGACCCTAAACGGTTTGGCTCAGTGGATAGAGCGTCAGCCTGCAGACTCAAGGATCCCAGGTTCGGTTCTGGTCAAGGGCATGTACCTTGGTTGAGAGCTCAATTCCCAGTAGGGGGTGTGCAGGAGGCAGCTGATCGATGTTTCTCATCAATGTTTCTAACTCTCTATCCCTCTCCCTTCCTCTCTATAAAATCAATACAATATTTTTAAAAAAAACAAGGGAAAGTACGCACCTCACCTCCAGGGCCCAGCCAGCCTCTCCCCCACGTCCGCTCCCTACAAGATCTGTCTGGAGAGCTGAGTGCCATCTCCAGGCTGAGCCCAGCAGCACATCCCCTTCCCCGCCCTGGGCCCTCCTGCTGCTGGTAGATGCTGCAGAGACTGCTCCCAGCCTCACCGCTGTGACCCGCAAGGACCAGGGCCTCCAGGCTCGGGGACAGAGCACAGCCCAGGCTTATAGGGTGAGGACCCAGACACACTCCCAGGGCACTGAGCTGGGCCAATCCAAAGAGCTACCCGCCTCTGAGAAGTCCTGCTCTCCCCGATTGTTCACCAGCTCTACCTCATACACAGTCTCCTGGAGAATTGTGTGGCAGGGGGAGAGGGACAGGGCCAGGGGGCAGGGGACTGTGCCACCCACAGGGGTGACCTAGAAGGCAATCATCGCCAGCAAGACAATGATGGCAGCCCTGGCCGCGTGGCACAGTTGGTTGGAACGTCGTCCTGTACAGCAAAAGGTTGCAGGTTCAATTTCCAATCAGGGCACACACCTAGGTTGTGGGTTCGATCCCTGGTCAGGGAGAATACAGGAGGCAACTGATTGGTGTTTCTCACATTGATGTTCCTCTGTGTGTGTGTGTCCCTCTCTCTCTACAATCAATAAAACTTCTCCTCGGGTGAGGATTAAAAGAAAGAAAATGCCAGTGATGCGGGGGTGATAGCAGCTGGCCTCCCTGAGCACTTTCCCTGAGCAGGCACTTCCCACGCATGGTCTCAGCTCGGCCGGACGCTGTGAGGCTGGAGTGACTGCCCCTCCAGGTAGAAGCGGACACTGGGACCCTGAGCGACTTGGTGCCTTGTCCAATGTCATCCAAACTAGTAAGGACAGGAAGCAGATCCGTGTGACTATGGGACCACACTCCTGACCGCCATGCTCACCCCACCCTGTGGCTGGCTCTGCTCCTGGGCAGGCCCTCTTCGTGGCTCAGGGAGGGGCAGGGGCACAAACTAGAATGTGCCACTGGTGTGGCCCACAGGAGCACAGGACGG